GCTCTGCGAGCCTGCCGGGGCATGCCAGCATAGTTTTTAAAGAATATTAATATTCACACAGTGTAAGGAAATATTCCACAGGGTTTCTGTTTATCCCTGACTGTCCTGGAACTCACTCTGTAGACCAGGCTGGCCTTGAACTCACAAAGATCTGTCTACTTCTGCCTCCCAAGTGCTGGGATTAAAGGCATACATTGTCATCCCCCATCCAACCTGGGCTATTTAATGAATTTGAGCCAATGAGAGCTATGGCGTGAGACGTCTCTCAAAGCGATAGCAGCAAGAGCAACAAAAAGAAAAGCAATGTTTTAGTATTGCTACAAAAATCCTTTCTACATGGTCCCATCGTGGCCCCCAGTTCCCATAGTCTGCCCTTAGTGAGCTGCCGTGCTGTGACTACTTTATGAATGGAAAACACCCGTGGAGAGTGGAAGGAGCCATTTCCTGGGGAAGCAGCACAAAATATGTCCTCTGCCAGAGAGGATGGCTTGTGTCTGCAGTCCCATCTATTCCAGAGATTCAGGCAAGAGGACATTTGACCCTGTTCAATGCCAGTCTGAACAAAAGAGTGAGGATCTTATTTTAAAAAATGTAGAAGCTGGACGTGGTGGCACACGCCTTTAATCCCAGCACTCAGGAAACAGAGGCAAGCAGATCTCTGTGAGTTCAAGGCCAGCCTGGTCTACAGTTCCAGGATAGCTAAAGCTACACAAAAAAATCCCTGACTTAAAAACCAAAAAAAAAAAAAAACCAACCCAAATCTTCAACAAAAATATTCTCATATTAGCAATATAATTCATAGTATGACTAAGAATGGATTTTTTAATTTTATAAAAATTATTTTAAATTATTAAATTAAAATGAATATTATTTAAAATAACTGGCAATATAATTTATAATATGACTTAGAATGAATTTTTAATTTAAAAATTATTTCAAAATATTAAATTAAAATTATTTAGTTTTTTTAAAATTAAAATGATTAAATATTAAGATATTTTAAATTATTCTGATTTATCAGGAATTCTGAGACCTATGGACTTGACATATAAATTACTGTTCTGCTAGATAGATCAGAGACATAAAAAACACTTTCAGTAAAGCTTCATGACACCCAACTGTTTCTTTAAAGGTACTTGTATTTAGTCTCTTTCAAGTGTTTTCCCTGCGGAAGGCTCCTGAAAGGATGGGTGTTATTAACAAGGTTTCTCACTCGTTCCTGTGCATTAGGTTTTGGTTCTGGGAACAAATGTTGAGCAGACAGTTTCTGGTTCTCACAGGTGGCTCAGCCTCCATGAAGAACGTGAGGTCTGAATCGTGAGTGGAAATCGGCCACGTGAAAGGAATGGAGGAGTGGGGGTTGTTTTAGTTTCCTCTCTGATGCTTTGATAAATATTCTGACCAAGCTGAGCTGTGGTGGTACACACCTTTAATCCCAGCACCCCAGGAGTAGAGGCTGGAGAAGGTCTCTGAGTTCAGGATTAGCCTGGTCTACAGAGTGAGTTCCAGGACAGCCAGGGCTACACAGAGAAACCTTATCTGGAAAAAAAAAACAAAAACAAAACAAAAAAACCAAAGCCCCCCCTCAAAAAAAAATCTGACCAAAAACTATGTAGAAGAGGAATGGATTTGCTTGGCCTACCCTAGTCTGTCATTGAAAAAAGTCAAGGCGGGAAGCTGATGGCAGAGAGCACGCTAGGCTAGTCCAATTGAGGAACGCACTTCAAGGTCAAAGAAGTACAGCAGAAACCGCAGAGGACGCTGCTTGCTGACGGTTTATAGAGTTCAGTAGCATCCGCCTAGGGAATGCTAAGGGTCACAGACAGCTGAGTCTACATCAGTTAACAATGGAGACAATCTCCCATAGACGTACCCCCAGGCCAATCTGATCTAGGTAATTTCTCCATCGAAGTTCTCCAGTCAGATGACTCTAGACCCGTCAAGTTGGGGAACTAACCAGAATCTGTAGCTTCGAGGTCAAGCCTTCGCCTAGGCCTTGGTTTCTATCAGCATTCAGAAGGAGGGTAGGAAGGAAGGTAGAAAGAGAAGAGGAGAGGGAGGGAAGGAGAGAAAGCGAGAGCCTTCTAGGCAGTGGGTTCACTGAGGATTTTGGAACTGTGAGGTCTGGATAGGTCTGAAGTTCTTCCAGAGAAGCCACTCTAGCCGGAGACTGTTGGGAAGGTGGCTCACGGTGCAAGCAGAGTGGCAGCTGGAGGGCTGGAGGGCAGGGCAGGGGACATGTGGTGGCTTCCCTCAGTCCTGACACCATGCACAAAGCATATCTCTCCTGCAATGTTTGCACCATCCTCCTCTTGGCTTTCACAGAAGTGCACCCTGTTTCCTCAGATCTCTTTGTTCTTCCTGTCAGCCCTCCATTTGCTCTTTGTGTGGCAGCTCCCTGAATTCCTCCAGCTGTTCTCCTCAGGATGTGCTCCCTGGAGCAAGGCTTTGCTGTGCTCTTCAGTATGCCCAATGGGAGTCGGTGCTCGGAGATACTTGTTAGACCGATGGATGGACGGATGGATGGGGGAACAAATGGGTTTGAGATCCAGACCACACTGGTTTTCTATAAATGTGTGTGTGTGTGTGTTATAGGCATGTGAGTGTAAATACCCCTGGACTGAGTTACAGGCACTTGTGAGTTACCCACAAGGGTGTTGGGAACTGAATTCAAGTCAAGAGCAGGACCCCTGACTCCACTTTGGAACAGAGGTGTGACCTTGGCTAAGTGATGTTCACTCTGTAGCCTTTATAGGATAAAGGGCGAGCATAGCTTTGAAGGAGAATGGACTGTGGGGAAACTATGGAGTAGAGTTTGAGAAGTGGGATAAAGGATTTATTTATTTATTTATTTATTTATTTATTTGAGGCAGATTCTCACTGTGTAGTTCTGGCTGACCTTCAGTTCTCGGAGATCTGCCTCCCAAGCGCTAGGATTAAATGTATGTGCCACCATGCTTAGCTTTAATCTTTAATGCACCTAGCTTTTTGTTTTGAAATAACTCCAGGATACTTTTTGGTGGGAGCCATGTTTGAGACAGGATCTAAGGCAGCCCAGGCTGATCTCAAACTCACTGTGTAGCTGAGGATGACCATGAACCTCCTGCCTCAGCCTCCCAGGTGCTGGAACTGCACACCTGTACCACCACCTGTAGCCACCCAGCTAGCATCAGGACTTTTTAAAGATGGAGTTGTAAGATAGTGCGAGTAGGAGCCAGCTTTCCCTTCTCCAGCCTTCCCTAATATTGCAGATCTCAGATACAGTTCTCAAAACAGAGAACCAATTTTTTTTTTCAGTTCTGGAGGTGGAACCCAAGATAACACGTACCAGAGTGAGTGCTACCTCACCAAGCTTCACTCCCAGCCCCAGGAAGTTCATGTCGAGGCAGCATTAGTAACTAAATTATGGATGCTATTTGAAATTTATCAGATTTTTTTTCTCTAGTTAAACGTTTACTCTGTTCCAAGATAAAATCCAGGATTCTAAATTGCATTTAGTCTCTCTGTCTCTCTGTCTCTGTCTCTGTCTCTGTCTCTCTCTGTCTCTCTCTCTCTGAGTGTGTGTGTATGTGTGTGTGTGCTTGTGTGATCTAAGTTTCATGCTCTAGCCCAGACTAGTCTTCAACTTACTATGTAGCCCAGGCTGGCCTGATATTCACTTAAACCTCTTGCCTCAGCCTCCCACGTGCTGAGATTACATATGTGAGTCACCGTGCCTGGCCACACAGATGATCAGTCTCCGATAATCTCTGACAGCTCCTCAGGCTTTCCTTGTCTTTTGTGACACTGACTCTTGAATAGGCACTGGCCAGTCATATTGAAGGATGTTTATAGTCCTGGTGTGTTGGGTTTTGGGTGGAGTAGGAGGGTACCCTGGAGATCTAACCCTTGGTCACATGCATGCCAAGCAACAGACCACTGTGCTATAGCTGTTTACCTGTTGAATAGATAAAAAAAAAATTGAGGCAGATTCTCATTATGTAGTTTAAGTTATCCTAAAACACCTTTCCTAGACCAGGTTGGCTTCAAAATCATGGTGATCTTCCTGCCTCTGCCTGTCAAGTGAATTCCACTACAGGTGTGTACCCCAAGGCCTATCCTAAAACGTTTTGCAATATGAACTTTTTAATACCCTTTTTATTTTATTTATTTTTTATTTTTTTAAAATATTTATTTATGGGCTGGAGAGATGGCTCAGAGGTTAAAAGCACTGGCTGCTCTTCCAGAGGTCCTGAGTTCAATTCCCAGCAACCACATGATGACATACAACTATCTATAATGAGATCTGGTACCCTCTTCTGGTGTGCAGGCATATTTGCAAGCAGAACACTGTATACTTAATGAATAAATACATCTTTAAAAATTATTTATTTATTCTGTATACAATATTCTGTCTGTGTGTACGCCTGCAGGCCAGAAGAGGGCACCAGACCCCATTACAGATGGTTGTGAGCCACGATGTGGTTGCTGGGAATTGAACTCAGGACCTTTGGAAGAACAGGCAATGCTCTTAACCTCTGAGCCATCTCTCCAGACCCTATTTTATCTATTTTATGCATGTGAGTGTTTGTCTGCATGTCTGTGCACCATGTGTGAGCCTGGTGCGTGGTACAGGTCCAGAAAGGGCATCAGATCCCCTGGAACTGGAGTTACAGCACATACGTACATCAGATGTACAGCACACACACAGAGGCACACACACAGAAGTTAGGTGACTAGTACAATCGGTTCTTGGCTTCTTCCATGTAGGTCCTGGGGATCCAATCAGGCCACCAGACTTGGCGGCAGGCGCCTCTAGCCACTGAATCATCTCATAGGCAGCTAACTTTATTTATGTAGGCTCTGCCTTCCTCAACTCTCTCTTAATCCTTGGGATTAAATTTCAACATGATTTCTAGAGAGGTCTCTAACATTCAAACTGAAGCAAGGAGCCTTGCAATTGAGGTAAGGGAGTCCCTCGTTGGCTGTTTACTAATGAGAATCTTTGCATGCTCTTCCAGGCATATACAACACCCCATGATCAGGTGACCCTTCCAGCCCAGAGTAATGGAGCAAAATGAATCCTCCCGTGTGGATTCTGAGTTTCGATACACCCTCTTTCCGGTTGTTTACAGTGTCATCTTTGTGTTGGGGGTGATTGCCAATAGCTATGTGCTATGGGTCTTTGCCCGCTTGTATCCTTCCAAGAAACTGAACGAGATAAAGATCTTTATGGTGAACCTCACTGTTGCCGACCTGCTTTTCTTGATCACCCTTCCGCTGTGGATTGTCTACTATTACAATGAAGGCAACTGGATTCTACCCAAATTCCTGTGCAACCTGGCTGGCTGCCTCTTCTTCATCAATACCTACTGTAGTGTGGCCTTCCTGGGTGTCATCACTTATAACCGCTACCAGGCAGTGGCCTATCCCATCAAGACTGCTCAGGCCACCACCCGCAAGCGTGGCATCTGTTTGTGCCTGGTCATTTGGATATCCATCGTGGCTACTGCATCCTACTTCCTGGCCATGGACTCCACCAACGTGGTTCGCGCAAAGGATGGCTCAGGCAACATCACCCGCTGCTTTGAGCACTATGAGCCGCGCAGTGTGCCGATCCTTGTGGTTCATGTCTTCATCGCATTCTGTTTCTTCCTCGTCTTCCTTCTTATCCTCTACTGCAACCTGGTCATCATCCACACGCTGCTCACACGGCAGGTACGGCAGCAACGCAAACCTGAAGTGAAGCGCCGGGCGCTGTGGATGGTCTGCACCGTCCTGGCGGTGTTTATCATCTGCTTTGTGCCCCATCACATAGTCCAGCTGCCCTGGACCCTAGCAGAGCTGGGCTACCAGACCAACTTCCACCAGGCTATTAATGACGCCCATCAGATCACCCTCTGCCTCCTCAGCACCAACTGTGTCTTAGACCCTGTAATCTACTGCTTTCTTACCAAGAAGTTCCGAAAGCACCTCAGCGAAAAGTTTTACAACATGCGCAGTAGCCGGAAGTGCTCCCGGGCCACTACTGACACAGGCACTGAAGTGATGGTGCCGGTCGACCAGACTCCTGTCATGTTGCTAAAAAATTAATCTCTGTCTTATTAAAGACAGACTCAGAGTCTCCTCTTCCGTGGACCTCACAGCCTGAGCTGGGAGGTGAGAGGTTTCTGCTTGGGACAACCCCTCCTGGGACCCTGGCGAACCACTGAGTGCAGTGGTCCTTTTTCACCAAGACGCTGGTTGACAGCACTGCCAGCTTGTTGGAAAATACTGGACTTGAATGTTCCTTTTTCCTCATCTGTGGGTTAATACTAGCGACTGTGGCTGATGGCTTCATCCAGAGCTTCTGAATCTGGCATCCCAGCTAGGGCCAAACCTTGGGCTTAGACTCTGAGTTACCCAGTTCTTCCAACTGGGGCTGCAACCTTAGTATTGGGAACTGCCTCCTGCTGCAGGCAGGGGAGGAGTTATGGGCGAACTGGTCCTGTGGAAGATCTTTGCGGGAACAGTGGGTTTAGGATGGAGCCCTGCTTTCTCCACCCACAGGTACAAGGTCTCTCTGACACTTCTAGAGGAAGTGGTTTGATGGAAGCCTCCGATGACCCAGAAACTTGTCTCAAATGTAACCAGAGGAAATAATACAAAAGCTGACCAGAAGCTAGGATGGGAGCGCCTTTCTCCCGAGGCAGCTGAGTTTCCACCCAGGCCTGAGAGTCTAGGAGAGAGACTAGGAGAGAGACGGCTCCCTCAGGACCCTGCAGTTTCAACTGCCGGCAGGCAGCAGCTTCTTTTGGTGACCTCTGAACACCTGATGGTGATTTTTTTTTGACAAGTGTGTTAGTCACACTTCACTCGCTGTACCCAGCCCTTCAGTCAGAAAGAATGCACAGAAGGAGAGATTTATTTGGCTCACAGTTTCAGAAGACTTCACTCCATCATGGCAACCAAGGCCTGCCGGGGCAGCTCAGACTATTGGTGGCAGAAGCAGGAGGCAGAGGCTGTTCATGTGGCAGTGAGCCAGGAGCCAGGGCAACACTTTAAGCTGGGGATGGGTACATTCTTCAGAAGCCCCCTGCCAGCCGCCCAGTTCTACAGCCAGGTCCTACCTCCTACCGGTTCCACAGACTCCCACAATACCACCAATAATGGGAGAATGAACACAGAGACCACGGCCCTGGGCCAGCGAGAGCAGGTGAAGGCACTTGCTGCTAACATGGACAATCAGAGTTCAATCCCAGAACCCACATGGTGGCACAGAAACAGACTTCTGCAGGTTGTTCTTTGACCTCTTCATGTATGTTGTGTTACACCCATGCCCCGCCTCCCCATACACACATAAATAAACATACGAAATAATGCAACAAATCAAAACAAACATGGCCCCATGGAGGTGCAGGGTATTTTAGATTCAAAATACATGAATTATTACATTTACATGAGGTCCTCTCCTGCTCTCTGAATAGGAGCAGGAACCACAGACTCAGAACTCTGGGAAATTTTCCTGGTTCCCTGAGCCTTGTGTTCCTTAAAAAACATGTTCTTCCTTCCAGTTAGTGTCCCCTTCCAGTTAGTGTCCCCTTCCAGCCAGTGTCCCCTTCCAGCTAGTGTTCCCTTGACTTTGGGTCAGTTGATTTCTGTCTGCCAGACAAGCATTCGCTTGTTCCAATAGGCTAGTAACGTGCTTGAGTTTGGGGTGATGGCCATGAGCTGTCCCTAACTGAAGGTGACTAGGTAGCAAAAGCAACACCACATTTGAACTTTGGCATCTTACAAACTCAGGCTCAAGGCTCATCTGTGCTTGGTGCTGTCTAGGAAGTGGGAATTCGACCTTCTGCCTCTTAGTGTTATTGGGGCTGTTACCAATGAGCAGAGCATGCTCAGCTGACTCTTGATTACTCATCCCTGATCCTCCCTGCGATCCTCTGATAGGAATTGAAGGGGTGAGAGTTGGATGTGTGGATTCGGGATGCTGTTTGGGGATTTACAATCCACCTACTGAAGTCAGTTAAACTCCGGAGCTGTGACCATGTCTGTGTGTAAGCTGAGTGGGTTGGGTGGCCACCTGGGCAGACAAATGGCTTTTCAAGGAAGGCAGATGTGCTAGGCAAAGTAGAGGCCAGAGAGGAACTCTTACCAGTGGTTCTCAATCTCCCTAATGCCACAACCCGTTTAATACAATTCCTCATGTTTTGCTGACCCCCCAACCATAAAATTGTTTTCATTGTTACTTCATAACTAATTTTGCTACTGTTATGAATCAGTATGAATATGGAGAGAGAGGTTTACCCAAGTGCTCTCGACCCACAGGTTGAGAATCACTGTGCCGGAGCCTGGAGAAACAAGAATATACAGCCTCCCGGGGCCAGAGGGCATTCCTGCACACTTTCCTTTGAGTTCCGAGACGTTTTCTTGGCAGAATTCCTTCTTGCTTAAACTCATTCGGATGGGGGTCTAGCACCTTCAATCAAATAACCTTCTCTATGTTTCTGTGCTACTACAGTACATTCTGAACTTGTTCATTTGTACACCCTCCTTGTCATTGTTTTGTAGTATTTATGTGCCACAGTATGCTTACTTAATAAATATTTTTGTTTTTAAATTGAGTCGGTTTTTTTAAAAATATAATTTATTTTTATTTTATATGCATTGGTGTTTTGCTACATGTATGTCCCTGTGAGGATGTCAGATCTTGGAGTTACAGACAGTTGTCAGCTGTCATGTGGGTGCTAGGACTTGAACCCAGGTCATCTGGAAGAGCAGTCAGTGCTCTTAACCACTGAGCCACCTCTCCAACCCCAACTGGGTCAGTTTTTAAAACTTACGTCCCTACCTCACAGGCACCCTATAGATTAAAGATCTTCCTGCCCATTTTATAGGTGGGAAAAAGGAGGCTAGGAGGGACTGAGTCAAGGTTAAAGAGAGAGTAAGTGACAGAGTCATTAATATTCAAAACTTGAACCCTGAGTAAGCACAGGCTCCCTCCCATCCCTCCTTTGCTGTGTAACTGTACCAGTATCCTACTTCTTCTAAGCATCTTGTGTGTGCTGGGGCCGGAGCTGGGACAGGCTTCCACCCCGATGTTGGAGGTCTCTTATGCAGCTCAAGCTGCCTGAAAACCCATGGGGACTCTTCCCAGGCATAGGTACCTCTGATCAGGCACTTGGGACATTGGTTGAGAGACACAGACATCCAAATGGTTCTAAGAACCCCGGGATCGAGAGCTCCATTACTGCTGAAGCCAGGCAGAGCATTTACTAATCATGAGACTAAATTCACTTGTCAGCTTGCAGAGCTCTAGAACCTTCTAGAAACATCGTAAGAGTCTCTCCGGTCTGTACATCCATAAGCAATGCTGCCCGGTCATCTGGAGCCACACTTACACCTAGCTTGATGAAGTGCTGCCAATTTGGTCCTGTACCATGTAGCCCTGGCTGTCCTGGAACTCACTATGTAGACCAGGCTGACCTTGAACTCACATAGATCCACCTGCCCCTGCTTCCCGAGTGCTTTGATTAACGGGGTGCACCACTACACTCCTGCCTATTATTTTCTCATTAGCCTATATTAATTATACACAATAACGTGTTTCATTATTGGCATTTTCATACACATATAATTTGTACTTGAAACATGTTCGGCCCTCCCCCCTGTGCTTCCTCTTGCCCTCCCCCAACTCCTGCTGATCCCTTCCCAGCCCCCTTCCTCTTCTGAACTGGCTTTACTTCCACTTTTGCATCTCTTTCCGCTGTGTGACTCACAGTTTCGCTAGCGCTGTTTACTGGAGTATGGACGACCCTTTACCTGTCCTTCACCACTGAAGAAGTCTGTTCCTCTCCATCAACAGTTAATGACGTGCAAATCCTCCGGGAGGACTGAGGTCCCAGGAGGGACCCGCCCACGGGTTCTGTTTCCTGGAGTCACAGCCATCCTGTCCCAGTATTGCCCGCCTTCCATGCCACAGAATGTCCAGCCAAATCTTGGTTTTAGTTTGAGTCTCTCAGATTACTAAGGGAGTGTTCTCAGATACTTATTACTAATTTGTGTTCAGATTCAAATCATTCAGATGCCAAAGCTTACTGTTCCAAGTCACAGAGTGACCAATAAAGAGGCCACTGAGACATGTGGCCAGGGCTCCTTTCTGCACCAGGTTCTAGTCTGTGATTTTGAACACACTATGGAACCACTCTGGGCCTGTTTCTGTTAAGTGGGAATACTGGCCAGGTGTGGTGGCTCACACCTGTAATTCTAGCACTTGAGAGGCTGAGGCAGGAAGATCGCTACAACTTCAAGACCACTCTGGGCTATATGGGTAAGTATCAGATCAACTAAGGTTGCATAAAAAAATTTTGTCTATTTTTTTTAAAATTTATTTTGGCATTTTGAGACAGAGTCTCTCTATGCCTGACTGTCCTGGAACTAGCTCTGTAGACCAGGCTGGCCTTGAACTCACAGAGACCCGCCTGCCTCTTCCTTCCGAGTGCCTGCATTAAGGGCGCGTGGCACCACCACTTGGCTATAAAAATAATTATTTTAAAGAATATATATTGCCAATGTAATAAACCATTTTGTGGGTTTAGAGTTGCTTAGAACAGATAAATGTCCTAAATGTTGCTCCGATAGATCGCTTCTGCCCCATATTTACAAGATTGCCTGCCGTCAGCCCTCTTCCCCTTATGACCAGGTTCTCATTGTGTAACTTGGTATTTTCCATACAATGGGAAAATGCAGAGAGGAACTGGGTGTGACCAGTCAGGTTTTCCTTTGCTTTTACTTCTAGGAGATTCTACAGTTCACCAGAGAGAGTTTTTAAGAAGTCAGGGCCATCACACACATGAGTCAGGGGATTTCAGTCTTTGGATGGTTATGAGGAAGGAGTAAGTTCCTTTTTCTCCCCTCCAGAGTTAGGGTTTCTCAGTGTAACCCCTGCTTTCTTGGAACTCATTTGGTAGACCAGGCTGGCCTCGAACTCACTGAGATCCAACTGTTTCTGTCTTCCTTCTATATAGCTTACTTTCACTGCTTCTTGTGTCTGTCTGTCTGGTGGTTGATTTCTGGCCCTGGACGTGTGTCCCTCTCCTTCTTCCTTGTTCTCTTCTTTCATCTAGATTTCTCCTATTTATTCTCTCTATCCACCAACCCCACCTATCCCTCTCCTGTCAAGCTATAGACTGTCCGACTTTTTATTAGACCAATCAGCGGCTTTAGGCAGGCAAAGTGCAACAAATGCAACACATCTTTACATAATAAACAAATGCCACACAAACAAATGCAACACACTTTTACATAGTTAATCTCCCACTGCAGAAACAAATATACACATAGTTAATCTCCCACGGTGGAAACAAATGTAACATATCTTTACACAGTTAATCTCCCACAGCAGAAACAAATGTAACACATCTTTGCCTAGTTAACATAATAGTCCACAACAGAGGAGCAGGTTGGTGGGGGCACATGCCTTTAATCCCAGTACTCAAGAGGCAGAGGCAGGCAGAAGAGGCCAGCCTGGTCTACAAAGGGAGTGCTAGGACAGCCAGGACTACACATAGAGAAACCCTGTCTCAATAACTAACTAACTAACTAAATAACAAAAATCAAGCAATGGAAAACATGGATGAATCTTGAAGATGTTGTGTTAAATGATGAAAGCCAGGCACCGAAGGACAAATGTGTGATCCCGCTATGTGCCCGGTGGCTGTAGGGGCCAGGAGGGTGCTGGGTCCTCTGTAACTGTAGTTACAAATGGTTGTGAGCCCCTGTTTGGGTTCTGGGACTGAATCTGGGTCCTCTGCAAAACCAGCAAGTATTCTTAAACACTGAGCCATCATCCCTCTTGCCCCATAAAACGATGAATTTTATGCCGCCATAATGTGATGGTGTCAATTGTTAGCTTGCTAAAATCTAGAATCACCTGAAGATGGACTTCCGGGCATGCCTGTGAGAGATTATTCTGATTCTTAACCTTCCTAATGCTGTGACTTCTTAATACAATTCCTCACGTTGTGGTGACCCCCAACCATGAAGTTATTTTTGTTCAGTGTATGGAAGCCCAGGGTCTGGTTCTCCACCTGAGAACATGTTCGTGTCCTTGGGCCATGCTGCTGCTGAGCCATACTGATCTGGGTGGCTTGTGCTGCCAATGGTGATGTCTGGACATGAGCTGCTGCTGAGAGCCCTGTCTAGGTCCTGCTGTCCCTGGAGTCTGTGAGAGATGGTCCCACCCTTCACCGTGGGTGTGGGAGAGCTGGTTTCACTCCTTGCCTGAGGCCCCAGCAGCCAGGACAGACCAGTTCGGTTACCACCCGGACCCACTTCCAGGGCTTTGAGTTGGCCCACCCCAGCATCTAACCCATTTGTCTTAGTTAGGGTTTTATTGCTGTGAAGAGACACTGTGACCATAGCAACTCTTTTGTTGCTGTTGTTGTTGTTGTTTTTGTTTGCTTTCCAAGACAGGGTTTCTCTGTGTAGCTTTGGAGGCTGTCTTGGAACTAACTCTGTAGTAGACCCTGCTAGCTTTGAACTCACAGAGTTCTGTCTACTTCTGTCTCCTGAGTGTTGAGATTAAAGGCGTGTGTCCCCACTGCCCAGCATTTTTTTTTTTGTTGTTGTTGTTGTTTTGAGACCGGGTTTCCTGACTGTCCTGGAACTCACTCTTTAGACCAGGCTGGCCTCAAACTCACTGAGATCTGCCTGCCTCTGCCTCCTAAGTGCTGAAATGAAAGGTGTGTGCCACTACCACTCCTAAAATAATATATTTCCTTTCTTTCTTTCTTCCTTTCTTCTTTCTTTCTTTCTTTCTTTCTTTTTTTCTTCTTTTTTTTTTTTCTTTTTGGTTTTTCAAGATAGGGTTTTTCTTTGTAGCCCTGGCTATCCTGAAATTGCTTTGTACACCAGGCTGGCCTCAAAACTCACAGAGATCTGCCTGATCATAGCAACTCTTATACAGGAAAACATTTAATTGTGTTGGTGGATTACAGTTTCAGAGGTTTAGGCCGTTATCATCATGACTGGAAGCAAGGCAGCATGTAGGCAGACGTGGTGCTGGAGCAAGAGCTGGGAGACCTGACCTGACATCTTGACTCACAGGCAACAGGAAGTGGGTCTGTCACACTGGGTGTGGCTTGAGCATGTGAGACCTCAAACCTACCTCCATAGTGACACACTTCCTTTAACAAAGCAACACCTCCTAATAGCGTCAGTACCCTTGGGGACCATTTTCTTTCAAACCACTCCACCATCCATGGCTGGCCTTCAGAACCGTGACCTTGAGAGCTCAGTGATGGGGCAATGGCAGGATATCCAGGAGGAGTTCCAGTGAGGGTCCAATTTTGACGGGGTACCAGAATCCAGAGGTCTGAACCTGACCAATTCTGTACAATGAACATTTGCAAGCAAAGCAGAGTGGGCCAAAGGGTCCACTGTGTTACACACCACAGCTCCCAAGGTCACCAAGATTCATGGAGAGGTGTGGGAGAGGCGGGAAAGATGGAGGAGTAAAGTGGGTTTTGTTTGCTATATTTTGTTTTTATTTTTATTTTTTTTAAATACTTATTTATTTATTGTGAATACAATATTCTGAATGTCAGAAGAAGGCACCTC